AATTAACGTTAATTGATACTGCGGCTTATAATCCGGTGCGGCTTTTGGTCGTGAAAATACGGTACACATAGAGATATATACCCTCACACATATACATACATACATATACATAAAGTGCACACACTCCAGAGTTCATTATATGTTTCTATTCAAATGGGAATTTGAAACTGAAATATTACTTGATAAATTCAAGTAGCAATTGTTTTTTAGCATTTGTGACAACAAGCTAGCATCAGATAAAACAGATGCAAATAAAAATCAGAATTGTTTAAAGAAGACTTCTCCAATCCAAGCAAATATATGCAAGCATATTGTAACAACACTAAAAAAAAAATACAAAGGAAAACATGTAAATTTCTCTGTTTTATTATCTGTTTATTTTATAACCAGATGTAAATGGCATCATAAATTGAAGAAACATGTTTATTTATTTCTAAATCCCATTGGAGAGGCACATGCTGCAAGAATGTAAGTTAAGCAGACCTCAAGAGTATATGACTATAAAATTTAGATCAGAGCTAGGAATTGCAATTGCTACAGGGCATCGATCTTCTTCTACCCATTCACTCCTAATTTAATATCATTATTCTCTAAAATTGCCTTGTTCTTTAAAATAGACTGGAACGGAGCAGGTAAATTCAAAATATGATACAATCTCACATATCTTGATTATTGATCCATTTGATTTTTATTTACTGAATATATTTATATGCTGCTGCAATAAAAAGCATCCCTGTGCCTTCTATTACAGTAATTAATTGTAGCTAATAATTTTAAAAAGCAATCAGCTTGAAGGGAAAGTATGAATGTTTAGGAGAAATTACAAATACTTCAAACCTAAGGAATGTTGCTATATCCTATTCCAAAAAAGTTTTAAATTCTCTGAATTTGAAGCTGCATCAAGTGGGGCTAGAGGAAGGAAGAGACCTGGCATTACCCAGGTATATTTACATGCATGCATGTATGTTGTTACATGTAAATATCTGTGGGCATTATGACAATTGAGCCCAAAATTTCCGTTGCTAAGAGCAACATTTGTTAAGTGATTTTTGAGCTTTATGACTTTTCTTGCTACAATTGTTAAGTGAAACACTGCAGTTGTTAAATTAATAATATTTATTTAACATTTAATAAGCTGTTAAATTAATAACATGGTTAAGTGACTCTGCCTTCCCCATTGACTTTGCTTATCAGAAGGTTGCAAAAGGGAATTACATAGCAATAGCAGTTAGACTTATATACCGCTTCATAGGGCTTTCAGCCCTCTCTAAGCAGTTTACAGAGTCAGCATATCGCCCCCACAATCTGGGTCCTCATTTTACCCACCTCGGAAGGATGGAAGGCCGAGTCAACCCTGAGCTGGTGAGATTTCAACAGCCGAACTGCAGAACTGCAGTCAGCTGAAGTAGCCTGCAGTGCTGCATTTAACCACTGCGCCACCTCGGCTCCTTACATGACCCTGGCATACTGCAACCATCAGAAATACATGCCAGTTGCCAATGCTGCAATGGTCATTAAGTGTGAAAAATGGTTACAAATCACTTTTTCCATTGCCATTGTAACTTTGAACAATCACTAAGCAAATGGTTGTAAGTCAAGGACTACCTGTATTGTGTGTAATAGGCTATTAATCTATTTCAACCCCTTCAAACCAGCAAACTTTTAAAAACTTCTTCCAAGTAAAGTATAGCCTCTGCCACCAGATTGACAAAATAATCCTCAGAACCTATGCGAGCCTTGCTTGTCAATATATACAGAAAAAATCTCTTGCCTTGATAACTTTAATATTGATATCAAACATGCATGTGAGAGGAATGTACTATATTGCATTATCTGTTCTGAGAAGCAACTTCAAGAAGCCTGGGATGGGAAGGAGAGTTGTATGCTGCTTTTTGTGTCAGCCTTACCAGCACTGTAATAAAGATCAGGTCTTTCTAGAATATCTCCTTCATGAATATAGGGCTCGATACGGTCATCCCCATACAGGTATTGCTCATTTTCATCCATTTGCCGGCTTTCCACCATTTCTAGCCACTGAGAATTGTGCCATCGGAATTTCTCACTTTGTATCTTCTTAGCCCACTCTTCATCATACTCCTGTTTTGACCATTTAGAAATTTAATGTTAAGATTTCAAAGGCATTCTATGTTATCCTTGCCTTCAAAACTATATGAAAAGTATTGCAAGAAGATGAGGAAGCGGAAAAGAAGAAGATCAAACTCAAAGAGCAAACAAAAAGCAAGCAGTAATTAATTTCTTATTTGAACATCTGGTGCCAGAATTTGGGTTTTAAATGTAATTTATTTTGCCTGTGAGACTAACTGTCAAAATGTTAAAACTTATTTATAAAAAAGAGTGACAATACAACGAAAAACAAGACTTAGGAGTAGCACTGGTGGGTCTGAAAAGAGCCATCTTTAATCCAGGATTCTACCTCACATAGCCAATGAGATGGAACCAAGATGCAATCAAAAAGACAAATAGCATTCTGCAACTGGTCTTTAACTAACACTAAGATGAGCACAACTTTTACAGTATACTTTTGTTTAATTCTAAATTTGGCCCCAGGTTCAAATGAGTGCTACGTTGCCTTACAGTCAATAATAAATTTTAAATTATTTTGTGATGGTCATGCAAAAAAAAATATGCAAAAGTATTCAGAAGAAATTCATTTTAAAAATGTTATAACATTACATCCATTAGAGGCTGCTAATATGAAAATATTGTAATTAATCATTTGCAATATTTGACTTATTCAAGAAAATAAGAAGTGAAAATAAACATTTAGCAGTGTTTCTGTGCATTTTAAAAAATAAATTGATATATTATGCTCTAGATAACATTACAATTGTTTTTATAAGTAAATATTATCCACATCATATATTAGATAAGTATTCCTTGAACAATTTAAAAAAAACCTCTTCCATATTCATGTTAAAGCATTCATCAGTCCTATATCCAGTTTGCCTATAAATACGGTACCAGTATATATAAATATGGTACCAGTAAGCATAATGAATATATTTCATTGAAATATTCTTGTTACATAGTGGGTGCAATTTGTAAATACATTTTCATTTATCATTGTTCTAATTCTCGTCTTGCTCTTGAGAATAAGTGTTCATTCAGGTAGTCCTTGGTAACTGAGACTGGGAAATCTGTTGCTAAGCGATGTGATCATACAGCAAATTTGGGCAATTTCAGTTGCCATTGTAAGGCAAATCCTTCATGGTTATTATTAGGTGTGACATCAGTTGATCTCCACTCATGACTTCCTGCAGGTTTCCCCTTTGACTTTGTCAGAATCCTGCAGTGAAGATTGCAAATGCTAATCATGTAACCATAGGATACTGGAACCACCATAATTGAAAACTGGTTGCCAAGCACCCAAATTCTGATGATAGCTGGGAAGTTGCAACGGCCATAACTTCAAGGACCAGCCACGGTCTCCTTATTCAACACCATCATAACTTTGCATCGTCACTGAATAAATGTTTGTTAACTGACGACTACCTGTATTAGAATAAAATAATCACTTACTGCTATTATATCCAGTGTATTATCACAGACTTTACGGATTTCAGAATTTTTATCATGCATCAAGTCTATAAGATATGCAGGAGCCTCTAAGAAGATAGAGTAAAGGATCTAAAACAATTTTGGGAGCCAGAATCTGGTGATTAGTATGTTTTTGCTGTAAAAGATACATCAAAAGAAATAAAAGAAGGAAACATATATACTAATCCTAAAATTCATTCTAATTTATATAAGAAGGGAACAATCCTTTTTGAGCAGATATACTATATTTATTTTAAAAGAAATAATTTCTCCCCCCACAAACAATTACCTTTGAAAGGGAAGGTCATTTTACACTCACTAAAAGTATCCTAAAAGAGGAAGGAAGGGTGGTCTGCTCTGCTTCATAAAGAATATAGACAGATTAGCTCTGCACTCCTGCTGTTACGTTCTACTGGCGACGGTAAGTCTATGCAATGGAATATACTCCTCTATCCATGTGAAGTGTACATATGGAATATCAAATTATCATTAAAAAGACCCTATTTCAGATACTCTCCTTACACATGGAGAGGATAAGGAAGGGCCAAAATACAAATGAGGCTAGTACAAATTCACAACCGAATCTATTTGAAGATAAACAGCCCCTAATTTCAACAGAACATAGGGCAGAGTAAGCACTTGTAGGTTGCCTTGTGCTAAGCTACATCTTCAACAGAACAGGAACCTATGCACTATTTACACTACACTACGCTACACCATACTATACTACTGGAAACTTTGTTTTCAATAATAATGTAGATGAAAAGGGAAAAGGCAATAGAAATAAAATCCATCCTTCAAAATTATGTCTTATTCCTGTCCTGCTACTTCAGGTAAGGTAGCAAATAGAAAGCAGGCTTAGGATAAAGCCTTGGAAGTTTTCCAAAGGTCTAGCTCAGTGTTTCTCAACCTTGGCCACTTGAAGATGTCCGGACTTCAACTCCCAGAATTCCCCAGCCAGCATTCGCTGAAGTGGCCAAGGTTGAGAAACACTGAGCTAGACCTTTGGAAAACTTCCAAGGCTTTATCCTAAGCCTGCTTTCTATTTGCTACTTTATCTGAAGTAGCAGGACAGGAATAAGACATAATTTTGAAGGAT